CCGATGGTCGCAGAGCGGCCCGTCCATCGCCTCCCGCCGACGAGCGCAATATCGCCGAGGTTTGGGAGAAGCGGCCAATCTGCCGTTGCGCGCTCATAATCGCCCTCCACGCCGATAAACAACGGCGCCACGGCCTTAAATTTTAACTGGGATGTAACTCGTCGGCGTCTGGAGGATATCTCGAGCTGGCCCAAAACTGACCCCAAATTGGCCCATAACTCATCTGAAACTAGTCCCAGACTGGCCGACCAGCAAAGTTGCATGCATGGAAGAACATAAAACAATCTAACAATTAAATACGCATAACACCACACATAAAATGGAACAAATTAATACACATTAACATATAACACATAAATATACATTAATCTACCTAAGACAGATCTCTAAAACAAAATTGATGATTTATACAAACATTTAATAATTAAAATTTAGGTCTGAGTTGCGTGGCGAGAGCAATTCCTTGAATCACCATTTAGGAGCCAGGATAAGCTTATGAATGACATTTCAGCAAGTCAGCAATAAGGTCGTGTCAGCCAGCAAGTTTAAGGTGCAGCAGGTCAGATTAACCAGAATGAACATCCCAAAACGATCATATTTGTCTCAACAGTAACTTAACAAGTTACAGGCGACTTAAGAACCAAAAATACTGCCAATAATAGCAAAAACTATCTCATTGAATATAAATTATTTTACTCATACTAACTGGTGGAAAATAAGAGAAATAAATTATTAATAATTAAAACATTGGCAGCACTTTTCAATTCAACATGTGTCCCTTAACATCATCAATTCAATCTGTTTGCCATTGATCGTCGATCTATGCTACTTTGGCACTTCTTGTGACTTGTTCTGAAGAAAAATCGCTCATGCGAATATATTAATCTTTCACTGCAAAACTATTTTAAACATTAGAAAATCATTAACTAAAAATTTTGCAACTCACTCCGATCAGCATGGTTTTAAGTTTTTTTAATTCCTAAGACCTGTATAATATACTGAAATCTGTCATTATAGCGTTACCTAATTTAGCATCTGCTGTAGTATGTTCAGGTTCATGTATATAAATTTCAGCTGCTCTTTTAGCTAGAGCATCATTGAACTATTTTCTGTCTTTTGTTTTTGTATGCTCATTATAATATGTTATGCACCTACAAGCTTTGTCCAATGAATTAAGTCATTTATAGATAGCCTTCATTTTAAGCCTTCTTCCCACCTTGGTACGTGGACCGCAGACTGCAGAAGGAGTAGATGTGTTTGTCTCTGAAAGAACAGTTGAAAACTTGTTCAGGCTGAACATTATAAGGTGATTTATAATGCGCGCCTGGCCGTGGGAATGTTCTCAATATAATGTTAAAATACCACTGCCAGTTTTTTCATTGCGAAGAAATGATATCAACTCATTTAAGTATTCACTAATGTTGGATGATGTTAGATCATGATAGTTTATTTTTCTCATGTAATAAATTGGCTTCTGTATTAGATTATTGGTTAGACACGTTCATTCATTTGCGTTACAGAGATTCAAAGCTAATGTATGAATACTATCAGGTAATATACATATGTATTATTATAAGAAGGCACACGCCAAAAAACAGGTAGCCGTTCATCCGAAAATTTCTTCACAAGTTCAAGCATTATAACCCAATAAAAATATATATTTAGTTGCTTAAATTATTTTTTTTTTGCGTCTAAGATCCTATATATTTGGTCACCCACACCTTGAAGCACTTTTTATTTGTTTTTACTCTAGTATTAAGGCCATCGGGTTTGCCGATGTGCTTTTACGTTATGTATTAAAGGGTCCTTAAGGAATAGGCCAACATTCCTCAAGGATACATCCTTGGGGTCCAAAGGCTCGCCTGAGGTTTCGGATATGTTCATATAACATAGGTTTTTGTATTAAGTTTGCCCTTCTTCTCAAAGTTTTCACCCTTATATATCGTGAGGTCCAAGAAATTCAGCACCTGGTTGCTAATTTCCATGGTGGATTTGATTGGCTCATAGATTTAATTCATCCACTCGAGGAATGAGTGAAATTCATTTTCACTTGTTTCACTTGGGATCAGGATGTCATCGCTGTATATTTTGTACAGAACGAGTCCCGGTATCCTGTCGAGAAAACATAACTACAACGAGTACATAAATATATCCGAGACCTCAGGCGATCCTATAGACCTCAAGGATGTATCCCTAAGGAATGTTTGCATATTCCATAAGTACACTCTTATTCACAACGTAATGGCATGTCGGCAAACCCGACGGCCTTAATACTAGAGTAAAATTAAATAAAAAGTATTTGTAGGTATGGGTGACCAAATATCTTGGATCTTCGACATATTACAACAATATTGAAACAACTAATTATATATTTTCTAATTGGGTTTCAATGCACAAATTTGTGAAGAAAGTTTCGGATGAAGGGCCACCTGTTTCTTTGCGTGTGCCTTCATATAATTTTTTAATCCTCAGGAGCTAACCATTGAATTCCATGCTTCTTGAATAATTCTTTATTTTGGCGAAATTTCAATCATTTGCCGTTTTAATAATAATAATTAAATCCCTTGAATTTACAAAATAATAACACAGTAAAATGAGACTCCATATTCTAGTCAGAAAATAAATGTATTCAACCATTATCTGTCATGTCATGCATAAGCTAAATCCCTTGAGTTGAATCAGAAGTTAAACAATGTTCTTCAAAAAAATTGTGTCCCGTCACACACGCATACGTGCTCCAATTCAACTCAAGCAAAGATGAGAAGCTTAAGGATCGAACGTGCTAATCCACACTATTTAGTGTAACTAGAGACACAAATGTGGCTACGGAGGTGACGTGGTCAGCAACCAAAAGCAGACACACAAGCGTACCTAAAAAATATAACTCGGTGCTCACTGCAGTGAGTGACAGAGAGCGCATTTTCTCGTCGAAGAAAACGTGAAGTCACGGACGGACGGACAGACAAACATGGCGAGCACAAGAGTGCATTAACAAAATGCGCTAAAAAACAGGCATCGTCAGCATCAGGATAAAGGTCCTGTCGCGCTATCGCGTTAACATTGAGGAGTCCATTGGGGCGCTTATAATATAGGCAGGCACGGAAAATTTCCAACCAGCTATGTACCATTCTGCAACTCACTGATTAATTTGAAACGCTTCAGATATCATAAAAAGGCCGAAATTACCATAAACAAGCGCAAACAAGCAACTTAAATTCACATTATTCACTTAAATACATTCACATCAACAATATCGAATCCCCACCAGTCCAAATTAAAATGTGCATAAATAACGGCGCAGTATATATGGCAAGGCAAGTTCTAGAAGCAGACAAAATCATATCATAGAAGACATATCATAGAAGACAAAATCATATCATAGAAGACATAGACAAATCGTAGAAGACAAAATCATATCACAATTATAGATTAGCTTACCGGTGCAAACAGCAGTACAGCAGAACAGTTCTGACTGAAAAAAGGAAGAACGTACAGATGCGCACGTCGTCAAGACTCAGCTATTAGTGAGGCTAAATATCCGGCGCGCGTGATGTAGCATGCAAATTTAGCGAGAAATCACATTTGTAACGAGCTTTCCTTCACAGACCCGATGTAAGACGAAGTGAAAACTGGCATATCTAGAACAGTTGGATATGTATAACAATCATTTTCATTCATTTAATTTCGCGACAAACCTCAAAGAATGAAAATGAGTCAAATATCTATTAGTCAAGCGTAATTAATATCAAATTATCCAATTTTATTTGAAGGATATTATGTGTAAGATCCAGTAGTTCATCCAAACACATGAATGGTATCTTCTATCTGTTTGAACTTTATTATTGTACTATGTCATAATTTGAAAAAAACTTTGTCCTTGTTGATAACACAATAATTGAAGACCTAATTTTATTTTATTGGACGTTCCATAATATAATTTTTGTAAGAAATGTGCAGATCAATTCATTTATAAACAAAGGGATAAATTAGGAACAATGAAGTAATTTTGATTGCTATCATCACCGGAATTGATTGAGCTTGCCATGAAAAACCAGTTCTGCAGCAAGTCTGTTATTCCACGCAAAACTATTGGGTCTGCAAGGTTGAGTCATTACCAGGGGGGTGAGTAAACATCTTTAGGTTAATGCAGGCCTGTGTTAAAGAGATTACCATCAGCATACTGCCAAATCAGTTGAACTATTCGGGACAAGTATGCTGGTGATCTCTACAATTAAGTTTGTCGGCCATCAGTAAAACGGTAACGGTGGCAGATTGAGAGTGCAACTGGTTTGGTCAATTGGGCAGGCAGATTAGAGCAAGTGTGCTGGTATGCGAACTTTCTATACTATTTGTATTTTGCTAATCTCCCGACATCATCACATCAATTACTTTTTACTTGATTTCCATGAGTGCTCGCCAGGGCATTTATTCATGCATAAAATTTACCGTATATTTATGCTCAAACAACTCCGCTCAGTTGTGGTAATACAAATTTCCCTTGTCCCGCAGGTACAAAACTGCGCCGCTGACTTGTACAGCGCATGTTCTGCTGCTGAGGTGATAAGCGTCACGACGAGACTAGCACGTGAGCGAGATCGTGAAATTCCTAATCTTCATCTCAACATAAGCAGTATTCGTTACTCAACCTTAATTATTCAGTTTTATTTACAACCATTCCTCAAATTTGTTCTTACAGGCCGCTTAATCGGGCGTTTCGTGTGGAAGGTTCGATAATGGTAGCTAATACGCGTTAATATTTATATTAGATGATATTTACATATACGAAATTTCACCATGTATAAAATATCTAGTCATGAATTATTCCCCTTTCTATTCTCGTACTTCCACTGGATGGACTTCGCATTCATTGCTCATCATTTCACGACAGCTCCTGCGGTCCTTCACTTGAACGTGACGCCAGCTGTGACCTCCGCCGGCGTGGCTTGGACGGCTCTGCGGGGACAGTTTTTCAACGTGACTCTGGGGGTGAGAACCGGCCGAGAAACTTGCCGTTATTTCAGTTGAGCTGATGTCGGTAATATGTAATATGAAAGCATCGATCAAGAACAAGGACACCAATACCGAATGGACGCCTAGAGATTGAAGACACGTCCTCAGTGACTGATCAATGTTACCTTAAATTAGAAACAACTAAGTCAGCTATGTTTTGATGATAATTTGCTAAAAACCATGACGATTTAAATATAAATCTGGAAAAATGAACNAACACCCCAAAGTCACTGTCAGAAATAGGGACAGACATAACGTTTGTCTGCAAAAGCATTGCCTTTTTGTGGTCTTTCTCGTGAATATCGTCATGGAATGTTTCCAAGATGAATTAAATGTTGACAAGTCTGAGATGCTTGTTCTAAACTTCTTATACGGATACACTTAGGTTATGTACGTATGCGTGGGTGAGGTGTAACGCTGCCGGTTGTTTACATGGTTCCAGGAACGTCCTCATACCGCAAGTTTCAATATTTTATGCCTGTTTTCCTCAGATGACGGGAAGAGCAGGTTGTGCCTCCAATGATGTCGAAAATGTTCAACATTTCCGCAATCTGAGCACGGCTGCATTGCAACTGCCGCTGCTGCAGGCGTACACTGAGTACGAGGTGTGCGTGTACGCATACAACGAGGGAGGAGAGAACCAGAAATGTGAAGTGTTTGAGACTCTGCCTGACAAAGGTGAGCGAGACTGCCTCTCTTTACTGCTATGATTGAGTGTCCATATCCATTACCTCTAAATTCCTCACTAGCTGTCACAAATGAAAATGATGCAGTAATTATTTACTGCATACAAATATTAAATACATTACCTTCTTATCTCTGGAAGTATTTTTTCGACAAAGCAAATAGCAAGAGTAAGCTCAAAATTTCATGACACCTCTTTTAATTCGAACATTCCGTGTTTATCATCAGCTCCTGGGCCTGTGGAGAAATTGACCTCTTCCGCCACGTCCACTTCCATCAGCCTGCGGTGGAGGAAACCTTGTCCTCCCATGGCCGCCATCAGGGGCTACCGCGTCAAGGTGGATACAGTCACTCCCTACGTCCAAGCGTCGGAGTGCAGCGACAGCGCCGCCCACTTCTGCCACACCATCAAGGAACTACAACCTGAACGCACGTACAACATTGAGGTCAGGCTCAGTGTAGAGAACTGCGTACTAGGAATAAGGCGGTACATCATCATTGTGATGCTGCGAGGGGGAGATGGGAGGGTCAATGAAAAGTTCAGAAATTTTTTTACATCTGATCCGAAATCACCAAATACCAATAAGGGCAGTTTCCGTCATTATATTTCAATTGCTCAGGGATTTTGTGGCTGTTTTTTCTGGTGATTATTTTTGTAATTAACTTGATTAGGGGGAAGATATCCATGCTCTCCGAGGATATTCATCTAAATTTACATGTATTTGTAGCATAGGAATTACGCACACCAGCATACTGGCCACAATCTGTGTGCCCAATTGACCGGACTTGTTGCGCTTCCAATGCATCCGAATTTTTAAAATAATTTTCAGAGCAGATGTGCTCATCCATATTGATTAACAAAAACGTATGAAAAATTTCGTAAATTTCATAACACATTTCTTGAAGCTCACAAAGGGCATATTGCAATCGATGTAATCACTCTGACTAGATTTCAAGAATATTAAAGCGAGAAAGATTAGTTAAGAAATTCAGCCTTTCTCTAATGAAAAGACCTTTCGGAAAGCAGCTTTACCGTCAGTTCTAACTCGTAGAACACAAGTACAATCAACTAGTAAACTAAAATTCACATTGCAGGTATCAAAAGCCTAAATTTACAAATGAAAAAAATCATATGAAAAACACAAACAGGCACACCTAACTATTTACAATTTTATGAGGATAGAAAGTTAAAGCTTCATTCACACTTGGTATTTGTTTGACAGTATGCAGGGATTCTAAAATTTACTGGTCAAAAACACCGGTTGAGGATGCCGAAACTCTAAAATCGCAATCGGATATCGGGACGTTGCACTGCTCGTTATGAATCATACAGCTGATTGAGGGGGATGTCCAATCACGTTTCCTGTTCTACAGTATAACCCCTCCCTTTATTCTCCGCCAGCCTATTATGGAAATTGCGTGATATCATGCAGACGTACGCTGATGCGCCCAACCTTAATCAATAAATGTCTTAAAAAACTAGGGAAAATCGCACGAGAAAAGGGATAGGATTTGTATGCTTGAAGAACAAGCCGATTTTTAAATTATACACGAACCGTACTTGTTGAATAACATTTGGAAGGTATTGAGTGACTAAACCTAAGAAGTCCTTTGACATTGTGTCGGTTGCGGAGCCAAAGTTTGGAGATGAACAATAATCTACGGTCCTGTTGTCAGCATTTTCAGAATATTTCTTCGGCTTAAATTTCATAATTTGAGTATACGCCAAGTGTGACGGTAATCAATTTAGCGAAAAGGTACTGTTCCAAAATTGACATTTATATAAAAAGTAGGATGTGAAAACACATAATCTCTGTATGCAAAGCAAAATTTGTTTTAAATGCATAAGCGATCATCATTTTACAAACTACTGCATAATTATTATTATCAAAATAAATTTTAAGTTTCGATCTAGATACATTTCGTTATTCTGTCTGAACCTTCAAAATGATATAACGTGGTTTTTGAGTTCTATAACTTGGTACCAAAGTCCTATCAAATAATTTTTGAGTTGGGCTGACAATTATTGTTCATTCTCACTATCGATTGAAATATGCAGTTAGTAATTGAATTTTATTAGGTTTATGGCGATACAATTCAATCTTATTTTCATCGGAAAGTTTATAAGCTGGCATTCTCCAAATTTATCGTTTGAAAGTAATCCCGACAACGAAACTTTTCCTTGATCATATGGGTTTGAACAAATAATTGACTTGATATAATTTTAAAAATTTAACCTTATTTTAGTAGCAGTTTAATATGAACGTGATGTGCGTTCAAATTAATGCGAGTTTAACTTAGTATGTGTTCAACTTGATGTATGTCCAACTGCAAGAATCCATGATGGATCATCATACTCCCTCTACTTGAATTTCAATTTTTCTTTCTTTAATTTTTTTTTTATTTTTTCGATTTGATAAACATTGCAGCAATATTTTGAAAATAATTCTCCCTAAAAGCTACTTCTTACTTCGTCGCCATTTAATCATTCAATCTGTAAATTACTGGTTCGTTATCTAATATTTTAGAGAGAATAAAAACTGGGGTGTGAAATTAGGCGTGTATCTTTGATAACATACTTCCGGTTTCCGTCTAATGTTATCTCAATCTCAAATCTCTAACTCTCTTACGTTTTCTTACAACGTTTCTCGTCTCAGGGATTAAATTCGTTTAAAATGTTTCACTTTTCTGCTGCAACGAAGCTTCAACAGTAACAATTTTTATTGATTTGCGATAACTATCATAGCAATTACCAACTAAACTTGGCAAAATATCATACCACTTTCTCATATTTGCGTCAACTTGAGTTTTAGTTTAATTCTTGGAAGCAAACCATGTGCACTCCTGAGGTAGTACCATGATCTCACCTTTAGGATGCCAGTGCGAAGATCGTTGCTCTTTACGAATCCACGGGTCCTTAAACGCCAACCGCCAAGCTACGTAAGCCAGAGTGCGCTACGTGCTGCTCGCTAACTGTCGCTCGTCTCCGTGCCCTGATAACTCGGAGAAATCAAAGAGAGGCTCGAAAAGCGAGTATTAGTGTATGCATAAGTGAATGTGGGCCCAGTTCAAAACTGCTGCGCTGAAGTGCTATGAGCTGCAGGCAAGACCGAGTGGTCAGGTCTGCATAGTGCGGCGTCTGAAGATATGCTGGCCGGGTGTTTGGCCAGCGGCCTAGCCTAATGCAGAAAGAGTGACTAAAACATTCTGGAACATGCGGTAGTCACGGTACTGGAGTGCATTAAACTTGGGCGTCTAATTTTTACATCTTGATTTAATCTGTAACAAGTTTCTGAATTGCACAGCAATTTTGTACAGAGTATGTGTTCCATGTGACTATTTAATTCGTGACTTGTACTGGAGATAAATCACTCATGCGAATAAGTAGATTGATCCCTGCAAATTAATTACCTTACCTTTATACCTTAATTATTCCGCTCAGTTGTGATTATACAAAAGTCCCCTGTACCGCAGGTACAGAACTGCGCCACGGACGATGGCCGCGCATGTTCTGCTCCTGAGGCAATAAATGTCACGACGGGACTAGCAGGTGAGAGAAATCTTGAAAATTACTAATCTCCATCTCTAAGTAAGCAATAATCGTTATTAAACCTTCATTATTCATTTTAATTTAAAACCATTCTTCAAATTAGATCTTACACACAGCTTAATCGGACGTTTCGTGAGGACATGTTTGATAAATGGCAGCTAAAGTGTTCGTATCAGGGTAACGAGGCAAAGCATTTTAAGCTGTCAGTGTTGTGGTTGTTGACATTGTTCTGCCAGTTAAACCGCTAACCCGAGGTCAAGGTTGAACCTGAAGCACGAAGGAACCGTGGCTCGGCAGGTGAACGAAACGATGCTCACAAGCTCAATAGATTAGTTCATAAAAATAAAGAAAAGGAGTACGTGGTACCATGAAATCCACTCTAATACGACTATAAAATGATCAAAATTAAGTTTGCTGCACAATATACATATGGCGGTATCCAGCACGCCAGGCCCGAAATAAGCTTTCTTAATAGACGAGCATCGAACCCATCACATGCAGTGGCGTGTGGCAGGCTGTGTCGCGCGCTACATAGAGACCCCTTATACCAACATATATGCGGTCCAATTGAATCCGGTCAACACTCGTGAGACCGAATTAGGAAGTTTATTCCGAAGAACTTTCAAAGATCAAAATGTTCCAAAACTATCTCTCATTAAACATACCTAATCGCATACACTTGGCAAAAACATTCAACATAGTACTCCACTTTTCTAGTAATGAAAAAAACATTTGACCGGTTAAAACTTATACGGACACAGGAACATACGAGCTTCATAGTGTCCCATTAAGAGTAAATCTTAGGACACCAATTTTCGGACCTAATACCTTATTGACATTTTTCGAGGAAAATCTTTTTCTACTATAAATCAGAATTTGCTGTCACACGGCAATTTTCTCCCAGTGAATTTTGTTTTGAAATTTTGCCGTGATATTTTGGCTCATGCGTTCAGTAACTCACAACACTCACAACACGGAGGACGAGCAATGCAGTGCCCGTTGTCGTCCACTGCCAGCGAATGCCTATAAAATATCTAGTCATGAATTATTCCCGTTTCTCTTTTGTCTTCTCGTGAATTTTTCTCGTACTACCACTGGGTGGAATAGGCATTCATTGCTCATTATTGCACGACAGCTCCTGCGGTTCCTCATTTGACCGTGGCGCCTGCTACGACCTCCGCCAGCGTGATTTGGACGGCGCAGCGAGGACAGTTTTTCAACATGACTCTGGAGGTGAGAAACTGGCAATTATTTCTGTTGAAAAGATTTCGATAATTTGAAGGCTCGAATGAAAACATGGACGCCAATACCAAATGTAGGCTCAGAGTTTGAAGACACGTCATGAGTGACTCATAAATGCTGTCTTAAATTAAAAACAACTAACCCAGCTATGTTTTTGATGACAATTAGCCAAAAACCATGACGATGAAAACATAGATATGGATAAATGAACACTCTCTAGTAGGAAATCATCGTGACATTCATGCCGCTTGTCTGCAAAAGCATTGCCTTTTATGCGGTCTTTCTCTATAATATCGCTATGGAATGTTACCAAATGAATAAAATATTGACAAGTCTCATTTCTTAGTTCTAAACATATTGTAGGTATACACGTGGCTGTAAAAGTTACGTACGAATGCGGGGGTGGGGGTATAGAGCTGCTGGTTGTTTATATGGTTCCAGAAACGTCCTCATGCCGCAAGTTTCACTATTTTATGCCTGTTTTCCTCAGATGACGGGAAGAGCAGGTTGTTCCTCCAATGATGTCGAAAATGTTCAACGTTTCCAATCCAGCACGGCTGCATTGCAACTGACGCAGCTGCAGGCGTACACTGAGTACGAGGTGTGCGTGTACGCCTACAACGAGGGAGGAGCAAATAAGAAGTGTGAAGTGTTTGAGACTTTGCAAGACGAAGGTGAGCGAGACTGCCTCTCTTTACTGCTATAATTGAGACTCCATATCCATTAACTCTAAATTCTTCACTCGCAGTCACAAATGAAAACGACGCAGATGTCATTTACTGCATGCAAATCTATTAAATATATTGCCTTCTTATCTCTGGTAGTATTGTTTTTTAAGTAAAGCAAATAGTAAGAGTGTGCTCAAAATTTTGAATTAGAAGACACCTATTCTAATTCAAACATTCCGTGGTTATCGGCAGCTCCTGGGCCTGTGGAGGAGTTGACCTCTTCCACGAAGTCCACTTCCATCAGCCTGCGGTGGAGGAAACCTTGTCCTCCCATGGCCGCCATCAGGGGCTACCGCGTCAAGGTGGCTACAGTCACTCACTACGTCCAAGCGTCGAAGTGCAGCGACAGCGCAGCCCACTTCTGCCACACAATCCCGGGTCTGCAACCTGAACGCACCTACAATATTGAGGTCAGGAACTATATACTAGGAATAAGGCGGCAGGAAAATGGGAGGGGAAATGAACAATACCATAAATCAATTTCAATATGGGATTCTAAATTATACTAGACCAATAAGGGCAGTTTTCTCGTCATATTTCCGCCGCCATGGCTCAAGAAAATGAGATTTTGTGGCAGTTTCTGGCCGCTGCTTGTTTTCGTACGTAGATCTATCAGTAAAGCCAAGTTGTATAGCGGTTCAATTTATGGGAGGTTTTGAAAATGATATAGCCTAAGAGAAAGAGTTCTTGCGCACATGTAGTTCCGCTTCAGCCTTTATAGTGAAACCTCGAGAAGAGAAAGATCTTCATGTTTCCTCTACCAGTATGTTCATATAACTGTATTGCACAGGTATGAGTTGCAACGGAATTACGAATACCAGCATGCTTACTCATACCAGCATGCTTAATGTCCGATTGACCGGAATAGTTGTACTCCCAATCCATGGACGTTTCCCAGCAAAGCAGCATCAATAAACCAGAAAATCCTTTACTTCAAGAAGATAGAAACTTGGGGCGTCATTTGAACTAGGTTTCTGTTTGAAAATATCAGAGTTTCTAAAATTCAGGTTAAAAACGCCGGTTGGGAATTTAAAACTTTAAAATCACCATCGATACTGGCACGTTGCACCGTTCGTCATGAATGTATTGTACAAGTATATTTCCTGTTCTACAAGTCCTCCCTTTATTCTCCGCCAGCCTACTATAAAAATTTTAGGATATCATACCGACGTACTCAGATGTGCACAACTGTTTTGATGAACTAGGAACGAACTCATGAGAACATTGATAGAATTTGTATTCATAAATAACGAGCTGAATTCAGAAATTTTCACAAACAACGCACGTAAATTCAGGTTTGGAAAGTAACTGGCGAATAAAACTTTGAATTTCTTCAACATTGTCTCAGATTTGGGGCCACAATATGAAAATAAACAACCCACATTGGTCCTGTTGTCACACTCATCTTGCTTAAAATTAAATTTCTAGGGATGAGTATAACCCAGGTGTCACGGAAACTACTTGGGGAAAGGCATTGCGCATTTCGTGGTGATGCTAACTTAATTCGAGTGTAAGCAGAGAATTAGTGCACTGGCAAAAGTAGAAAGAAATATCTTGGTCGTTGTCAAAAAATGTAGGTTAATAGTTACAGGCAGTGCGAGTTCCCGTCCCTAGTACATTACGAATTTCGGAACATACCCGCTCCCGCTCATCTGACACAATCATACCGTCTGGCGTGCGCTAGTCATACCGATATTTCCTATAACACAAAAAATTGTACTGCTGCTAGTGTGTATATGTTCAGTATCATTATTTTGCAACGTACTGCTGCAAAATAATAATGTAAATAATACTGTAATATTAATACGGGCAGCAGTACCCCCCGCTGCCGGGTACCGCTGCCCGTGCACCTGCTGCTGATATCCTACCTCATGCTTTCTCTTCTGGTGCTCTTTGGCTGTCAGGAGCCCATACTTCTACTGGTACACCAGATCATCACGGTAAAAAACGAGAAAGCCCCTGCAGAACTGGTACTTTGGAATATACGAGTATATCTACAGTTTCTTCAGCAGCAAATTCCACAAATTGGCTGGTTGCTAAAAGCCTTTTCACCACTGTCTGTTATTATTTATATTTTGTCATCTATACCTATATAATTATAATTACTGCCATCCTCTTTCGATACTTCGATCTAAAGACTACTTTGAGATTGTAGTGGAAACTGATTTTGCTTCTGATTACTTGCTGTCATTAGGCTCACGATCTAAATGAGTTTCAATTTGAAGCCAATGATCATACGTTTCAATTTTTCCAGTTGATTAATCAATTTGAACAGTTGTTTTACATTCTGTACTCTCTATTTTAATGATCATTTTCTCTAAAATTAATCTACATTTATTGACCCTAAGTGAGTGCAATCTATCTGTTATTTCTTCACCTTGGATATTGAAAGTAATTATATTTTATCTGCTAACCAAATTAGGAGATTACACATAAATTAGTTGGCCAAAATACTGTATATTTTTATGCCATGGGGGATGTTAGGGAAAAATGTTTTCAAGTTATTGTATACATAAATAATCATTACGATTGATCCATTCATTATACAGCACTGATTACGTTTTAAATGCAGTTATAAAGTGTATAATAATATTCATTCTGCCGGTAATAACTTTACTTTGTGATTCCATTTTTCAACATAAATCGTTGACGTTTAACATCGTAATCATTTAATAAATTTCGTTTATGAAGTTTATGTGACAACACTTACAATTCATAAAGACTCCTATGTTTCCAACATGCAGAGAGCCCAATAGTAAATGATATATTGCAAAAATATCATTAACGGTAGAACGTATATTAATCCCTATCGAAAATTAGTGGTGATTTGTATTTAAGTTGCGGACGCCTCAAGCTCGATTTGAACGTAAATTGGCGCTTTTATGTCCGTTTTACGTTCTGGCTGTACAAGCAAAATAAGCGCCTGATTAGAATTCAGTATATTCCCTGACAACCGTGTGGCGAGTGCAGGGCGCGCGTATTTGGCACATAATACCTTCGGAACGGACGCGGCCGAATCTGAAACGTGTCTAAAAAATTCCCCTACCTTCTCCCTTATACTGGAGGAAAGGAAGGGGCGTTTCACTACAAACATCGCCTTTTGCATTTCCCAATCCTACCCCTACATTCTACCTCATTTGCCGTGCGGTACCGAACAATATTCTCTAATCCAGGAAACAAACATACACCCCATACATTGGTGCAAAATATTCTGTTACATAACCCTGTGTCAAGCGTTCTTTCACCTAACCCCAGTACCATGCACTCTCTTACATACACCATTACCTAGCATTCTACCACATATTCACCAGTACCAAACATTCCTCCCGCAATTATCAGTCCTCAATGTTCTCCCAAAACTTTCACAAACAACAGCCTAATGGATCTACAAGGGTCAGTTTTACTGCATGCATGAACTTGATTTGTATAAGCCATTTCAACATGGTACGTTTAAATGTGTTAGCTAATTCCTGTATTTCCAGGGATGTAATGACTAATAATGTCATTATGAATGGTTTGCGGTAATACAATTCGAGGTGAGACCCTCTTTCATTCATTTCCGCCCGCATGCGGGCATAACAACCAGGATACAATTTGATACCGACTTTTCATTTCAAGATACGTCACTAGTAAGTTCCGTTTGCACGGGTCTATGAAATTTTGCCTACAGTGACTATAAAGAAGAATAGAACTATTACTACCGTCGAAAGTGCAGTTGCCCTCCAAACATTGTCATGCTCAAAGGCAATATCAGAAATGTATCTTTTAATAATTGTAATTCTTGAAAATGACCGAATTCATAACGACACTTCTATTTCACTCTGGTAACAAATACTTATGTTAAAACGGAAAAAATATATAATCACGGGAAACAATCAAAGCAGTTACTAACGAATACACTCGGCATCCTTGTTTAAACGCATAAATTCGCATGCAGCGGTTTGGTGCTGAAGACTACACAGTGCGCATAACTACGCTTCTACTGAGTCGACTGATGTCAATGCTAAATTTTCTGTTCCACAATTTGATCCAGTTATCTCGATGAATCATAAAATTTAGAAGCTGATGATTACGAATACGAGCAGCTAATAGAACACGTTCATGCCGACATAAACCTTAAGTTAATAAATTTCTATTGTTGTCAAAATTTTGAAAGCTCAACTGTGTGTTCTTGAATCATCAGTTGAATGCCGCCAAGCCAGTGTCAAGTTTTAAAACGAACTTACTTTATGAAGATTTGCACACTGCACAGTAATAAAAAAAATTGCGTTTCTAACAATGTTCAGAACTTACATGTTCAACCTTTAAATCTGTTAATTAATTTCAAGCCACGTACTTCACTTTTCATGGCACGATTGAAATGAGCAGCGCGTGTCGTTCGACACCTAATCAACAATTGAGAAACAATTGAGCACTGCCCCCTGCAACGTCAGTGGCTACGCCCTCCCACTGCTTTACCTTAAATCAAGGTAAAATTTAACCATTAAACACGTATTGCAACAAATTTTGTGCTGCGAATATAGTAAAAAAATAAAAATGAGAATCGTAAAAATTTACAAGGTTTTGTTATCGATGTCGTTTGAACCAATGAATGGAATTTGATTTAATTTATTCACAAAGTAATGAAGTGCCAGGGTACTTCGGCCAATACACTAAGCACAATATTATGTTGACATGAAAATATTCATATTTGTAGACCTTCCTTGTATAACCGAAGGAACATTGTCCTGTTAGCAGGTAATGCACCGGTATCACAATATCAAGCAGTGCAATCGAGGAATCATATTGATCTGAACCAATCATAAACTTGTAGGCCATGACAGCAAAACCGGACATTCAACTGTTGCTGGTTCTTCTAATTAACAGCTTGCATATCAGTTACTTTTGTAATGATAAGTATGTGCAATTACCTCATAGAGCTACAGGCATTGATTTGTTGCTGTCACGTACTCTTTATCAAGTGTGTTTCTCCTCTTCCACCCCATAATCATGTTTCCATGCTCGAAGCAGCCTCTGGTTTATAAACCTGGGATAGTAAAAAATAATTACATCTTTTTGGTTAAAAAAAATTGTCGTATACGCAATGAAATTAGTATCTAAATATCACGTAAGCTCAAAAAATTAGTTGTCAATTCTCATCTTGATCCCTCGTATGAGTTAACACAAGTACGTGTGTACGCCATTCCATGAGCGGAAGATATTCATGGTTTGCTCTTATACCAGATTCTGACCAGGCTAATTACGCAGATTCGCCCATCGCTCAATCGATTCTTGCAAAAGGATCCTAAATACTTGATTGTGCTCAAAACTTGCTTTGTGCTCAACTTGATGTTTTTGCAACTTTATATGTGTTCAACTTGATGTGTGTTCAACTCGATATGAGTTTAACTCGATACGAGTTCAACTCGAC